CTCTTTTCCTGAAAATGGTATCCTCATATATTAAATAAACGAAAGGAAAATGAAAAAGGAGGAAAGTGAAAATTAGTAGTGGTGTTGAAGAAAATGTCATATGGTGCAAAGCAAAAGCCAAAATGGCCTTTGACAATCTCAGGCATCTACGGTACTGCCATCACTTATGTCGTTGTCTTTGAAGACAGGTGTATAATCAACCACTGCAACGTTTTGCTATACACGTTCACCTACCGTTAAGGACCCTTGGCGGCTCTCAGTATTTGATCCGCACTGTCTTGGAAGCACTGCCCGAGTCTAGTAGTAACTGCCTACAAATCATAACGGGATCTCACGATGCCCACTGAAAACAAATAGCCATCTTTCTCATTTGAATAGTACATGGCGTGGGAGCCACATGAAATTTAGTAGGGGCAGCAATAAAAACTTAATCAATTAAGCGCTTAGATAGTATTTGAAGAGACCGATAAACTGAAATTCACTTTGAATTTTTGTTGTAAACTGGTATCAACTTACTAATGGTCGAATCTATCAAGCGCTGTGCGTACCAGAAGGTACCCATTCAGAAAACCACCAAACTGATATAGAACAGCAGAAACAAATAAATGCGTAGAGAATGAGTACACGTTACATACATAATAGGGCTAGTTAACACAGTGTTTGCAATTTCCCATTCTACATATCCGGGAAGGGTTAGTAATTTGGCAGTATTCGGTGTGCACGAAAATCGGAAGGCCTTGATAGACGCGCGAAACAGTAACATGATAGAATGGAAGATACAAAAGTGTGTTTAAGTGGGTCATAGCGAAATGGATGGTCGATCAGTACGGATCTTGTGAGGAATTGTGCTGTTTCCAAATTTTGGGGTAATAAAAAGTGAATAAAATCAATTAGAAAACCAGAGGTAATCAAAAGATTCAGAAATTAGTTCAAACAGAATTGAAAAGAACATTGGCAAAGTGTAAGGACATTGAAGTACGATGTACGTGCCTTCGAAAAAGATTTCACGAGCTGAGGTGATACAAAATATGCTTCGAACTATCACACAGAAAATAATGTCTATCACAAACACAGTGAATTTGTTTCTAGCATGTAAGGTCATACAAATCACGATAGTGCGTTTAACCAGCATACCGCTCACCCCGCATTCTTGATTGCTACATAGAACCTACACATCCCTCATAACTGCATAGCTCATATGTATTATTAATGCATACTATACAGCAGGAGCCGAAGCTGATGGCACCGTTGTACTGCAGTGCCCGTGAGTCGCTAACAGTCTATCCTCGTAAGAAAACTGCCAGTGAACTGCAGCTGGTCTGCCAGTAACCTGACAATACAGTGAGTGAATACACATGTACCTAAATAGCGTGTTTATATCTGCTTTAAGTTTTGCTTATGGTTAGTGGAAAGCGTGAAGAAAAAAATAAGCCTTCTTAAAACAAACAGAATTATCCGAAGGAGACATGGATCGGTCAGGTGAGATCTGCATTGTTCACATAGTTCCAGATGAAAGATAGCACTAGCACACACACACACACACTGCTCACCTGGCATTTGCCAAATTTCAACACCAGTGGCACTAAAACGATAGTTATCCATTTATCGAGGTATGATTGTGGATCGGGGCAGTTGTCAGCCTTAGTCTGCAGGTAAGTGATCTTATGTGCGTAATGCACAGAAACACTGTTGGTAACTGCGAGCCTCCCTCCGTTCAGTAGCAGCACTTTGTATGACCTGCATAGTAAATGGAGACTCAAAAGCTTTAAAATGGCCAAGGGTGAGTGTCTTCGTTTGTGAATGGTTGTTCGTTCCCTGCACCACGCAAAAGTAAACCACACAAAACCCATAAGAATGAGAATCGATTGTGGTAAATGAGCCTTCATCTTTTTGGTGACAAATAAATTACCGACACCCGAAGAAGACAGAGGGGTTTTGGAGTGGAAAAGCAACAAAACCATTTTGTGCCTCTAGATACATCCACTCGTCGGATACGATCGGTACGCTAAGATAAAAACGAATTTCAATGTCTTGCCGAAATTCGTTCCAAGTGCCAAGTACGAGCATGGTTGTGGTTCGAAATGCTACCAACAAATGAACAGCCTCAATCAACAGTATCGACAATCTATCCATATATTTCCAACTGATTAGCTTCCGGCATGAAAACCAGCGGAGAACGTTTGAAAATTAACCTAAAAATAGAAGTTATGAATAAAGCATCCTGTATACTCGGAATTGAGGAATCACTGTGGTCACAGAAACTGTTTCGAAAAATAGCTTTTTAAAGTATCAGTGAGAGATAATGAACAAGATAATTGGAGAAAAGTAGGCCCACATTGACCAAGAAATCATTCGTAAAAGACAGGATGAAACAGAGGGACCACGCCTCGAAAGAGCTTGTCAAATAAACTACGGACCACAATTTGTAGAACTTTATCAATTTCATTACACCGCATACGGTAATCACCGCCCTTTCTATGGAAGCACGAGCTTACATTGATATTCATTGGAGTTGGGTTACTGTTTTAATAGTTTTGCGATCCCATTCATTTACTAGGGAAAATATTCTTACAGCACGTTAAAGTCAAGTGTATCGGAAGGACAGTCAGTTATCGAAGTGCTGTGCGTAAGCGCTATAAACCGTATAAAACCAGACGCATGGTATACGTGATTTTGCATCGGATAATTATGAAGCAGCATACAGAAAGGATATGAAAAGGGTGATCACAGGAATATATTATCAATAGTCGATCGATGCACAGCAGCCTGCAGATCGCATTGGTCGATTGAAGACTATTTAAAATGATATCAAGAAGTAGACAAGCAAAATATTGATCGTTTGCTGTGCCATCTAACCTGCGTAAACAGACACCAGTCTCCGCACTATAGATGTTATAATTGCTACCAGTAATGCCATTTTCAGCAATGGTTCACCACTCCCCTCACCGGCGGACAGTGATTGCCGACCTATTTGCTATTTGAATGATACGGGCGAATCAACCACAATAGTTCAATAACAAAAACAACCGAAATATTATATGTTGGTACTACACCTTTGGTCTTCTCGTGTTACTGGTCGCACTCTGTAATCTTCCCATTGCCCAGATGATAAGCACCTGAACGTTTTTGTCCTGCAACCAAGAACCATGAACTCAGGTGCTCCAGTTTTGACTACCATCCTTGGAAAACCTATCTGGTCAGATCATTCAAAGAGGAAAACTGCACTAGAGGCTAAAAGGATGTTAGTTGGATACACTTACATAACAGGAGAAAACAGCGGGTGTGAATAGAGTAATGGGACACACTTGTGCCACTATTAAGGAAAAGAAATCACACAACTTAGTGTATCCAACCAATGTTTTTGATGCTTCCTGAAGAGACCAAAAACACAGAGGTTTAACATCAACTAAGGGAACAGCTGCACTGGTTGAAGATCTTGTTTCTTCAGGCCAAGTCATGGTTTAGCTTCGAAAACAGCAGGCAACGTAGCAAAATCAATAAACATGTAAGAAATTCATAGTAGAAAGCAGAAGTATTCAAAATACATGCTTTATCAACTCGTCTGTTAAATTTGTCTTGGTGGCTCATTTATATGATGGACCATTATAGAGAGGTTTTCGCACTTTGAAAGGAAAAAAACCAATACATTTAAGTAATAAGGAATCGCTGTCTTGTTTACCGTCAGATGTCTTCCAGAGACCATTGGGACAGTGGTCAAATGCAACCTTCCCTGTTGAGCAACTCCATCAGTTAAAAACCCTTGAGGCTTTACTTCGATGTGCAATTTTCTGCACACCGAACACTTGATCTAATCAGTTACATTTAATGACAACAAAGCGTAAGTCACAAGTTGAACTGTGGCAGACTCACTTCGAATCGACAATCATCATACTCGTGTGCTTTCACATCGGCGAGTCGCACACGTACCGCTCCACGCGATCCGAGGCTAACCTCATCTGAATTTCTGTAGTATGTGAGCATTCCATCGGATAGGATAAAATAGCGTTCTTGCCAACCGTGAAGCAGATTAGTCCATTTGCTTAGCATACCGCGTACGGGCATCGGTGCCCAAATCTCCTCATCCGAGGCGTCTTCAGAAGAGGCACTATCGGAGAGGTTCTCTTGATTCAGCTTACACGGCAAATCTGTTTTGCCATCAGATATACGACCGTGAGTGGCCGAGTTTGTCGTTACATTTGCTGCACTGCCCGTGGTGTTAGTTGTTGTGGCGGTTGTCTTTGTGGTTGAGCGAGTGGAAACAGCAGTTCCGGGCACAGCAGTCAATGGATTAGAGGTTGAATGCATAGGGAGCTGGAACATAGAGATACAAGGAAAGAACGTTTCGACCAAAAAAGATAACTAAACACATTCAAATGTATGTTAAAATAGACGATAGGAACAACTTTAAGGTCGGTATATTGCTATAAGATATTATCATCATCATTCATCATTGTACAGCGTAATACAGTGAAGCGAAATTCACTGATCGCTGCCAAACTCATATGGCACACAAAACATGTGAGAATGTGTAACGAGGGACGGGAAAAGAAAGCGAACCTTCATGGTCAACACACAGAGTTCATAGTCTAACTGTGCATACGTACTATTTCAAGCATTCTGGTCTGATAAGAATTGGCAGCATGATCGCCATTGCTGTCGGTTTGCAGCCATGACCTTCAGTCTCCAACCATGCGGTTTCGGAGTCTTTTAAACCCCATCCCAGAAGACGAGAGACACCTACTTTATCTAATCGCTCTGTGCATTTCTTCATGCCTCGTCTCCACGTCATCTGCTGGCCCCCACGCGGATTTCTCCAAGCTGAAACAGCCACTGCGAATAAGGCGCGTTGCGGGAAGCGACCGTCGGACATATGCAAGTCCTAACCAACGGAGCCTATTGAGCTGAATTCGATGCGCCAGCGAGTTCGTGTTCGATGCATTCCCAAATACCCAACGACTTACTTTT